TCCGACATTTTGTTACAACGTAAACAAGTAGAAAACCAGTGAAATGCAAGCAACTCTGTCATTGCAGAGGAACATGCTCTTTTGTCAATTTATGGTGGAAAAATGGTGAAACCCTAAATTATTTTTGGCTTCTAAAATTCTATTAAAAGAGAGCAGCAAGATCTGAATTATTGCAGCCCCGTGTTCTTCCTCCACTTTCTGATGCTGCGGAATACCACAGTTACAGAGTGTACCATCAGATCCAGGAGTGGGAGGGAAATAAACTGCCTCCATTAAAATTGGGCTGGGAAATAAGCAACGAAACTATGTACCAATTGCCTAAATGCAGCTCCCCTTTCTCAGAGATCATCCATTGTGTGTGTAAGGCAAATTGTATTTCTATGAGATGTTCTTGTAGAAAAATGAAATAACTGTTCTTTGACATGTAAGGTATGCAAAGGCATTTGTGCAAATACCTCCATTACTGATCATGAGAATAATGATGACTAAATAATGAACACTCTCACCCCCTTGGGTGGGCCCAGAAAAAAATGGGCCCAAAAAGGCCTTAAGGCCCCGAAAAGTGGGCCTTTTTGGTCATAAATGGGCCTTTTAAAGCCTTATTTTTTAATTGAAGAAAATGGGTCTCAATATTTCAAAATTTGGGCCCACTTCAGGGTTTTAGGGGCCCAACATTTTTTCCGCGGAAGTTTTTTTCTCAGACCTGCCCCCCCCCCCTTGTTGGTTCCCATATCCGCCCCTGATGAAGGCTGGTGATAGACAAGGTTGTAACTGATTGTTGTTACAACATAATAGTATTAAGCTTATTTAATCAGCATTCTTTTTTGCTCTCTATAAGTAAGACACATATATGAAGGTTAAGATTACAAAATTAAGGCAGCATTTTTGATAATGAACATAACATAATCGAACCATGGATTTACTTTGCGTTACACTAGTTAACTCAGGAGGATTTATTAATGTAGAAACCTTTTCCTCATTTTTTAATGAATTTCATCTTGAAATCGAACATTCTTCAGTTGAACTTCTTCATTTCATTTTCAATATCACTGTGTGGTTAAGAACACCTTAGTCAAAAGTAATTTTTCCTTAATACAGGGCGAGGCAAAAAGGTAACCCAAACAAATCTTAATAATCCAGTCCAATCATCCTGCATGGATTTAGTGTCATATTTGGCAGAATTGAGTCTTGGTCAATGTATTATCAATCTACCCAGTCTCAGTGGTCTCTAGTGGTCACGATTTTATGGCCATTTTATACCATGCCATGAAATATGGGTGTCATGCCTGGAGGCCAACTTGAACGTATCGTACGTTGTTGTTCAAATCAGGAGCATAAAAATCATGTGTTATGACTCTCATCTTCATTCTTATCTCTTGTTTTAATGTTTCAAGTGTTGTTAGTATCGAAAAAAGGTCCACAGATAAAAAAAAAACTGATGGTATTGATGTCCAGTCAGTTAGGCACATTTCGATGTTTTGAGCACATTTTGTAAATGGCCATAAAATCGTGACTATTAAGGATAGATCAATGACACTTAGTAGAATGAAAGAACATTGAACAAGGTAATTGTGCCAAATATGATGTCAAACCCATGCTGAATGACTGGGTTATTAACAAACATTTGGTTGGGTTACCTTTTTTGGCTCATATTAATAAACTGATGTCAGGGACAGGGATATTTAACATTTTGTTGCCTTTTCAAGGACATTTTTTGACCACTGATTGTAACAAATCGTTCTCTGTTTTACCAGAAAAGGTATATTATATATCAAATTGAATTTAAAAGGAAAAAACATTTGATAATTTAACAGTTATCAACTAGTAGGGCTTCCCCTATATTTCACCTGGCATTTGCTGTTTTTCTACTTTTATTTACATAATCCTTTCCTGAAAACCTCAAAAAACTGTTTTCAGGACAAAATAAGCCTTTACAAATAATTTAGTTGTGCTATTGAGTTCGAATATGACATATCTTGGAAGTAATTAAACAAAAGTAAGGTCACCCCAAAAGTGGGTGTGGTAAAATTTTGAAATTTCAAATATTATTTTCACGCTCAATATTCACTTAATGACCCTGATACTTATCAAAAACAATGTTCAGGTGTACAATACCCTCCTTGATATTTTTCATGTAATTCTGATGAATTGATACAGAAATATATACATTGTTATATTAAATTCGGGCTATTTGATGGCCTATTTTCAGATATTTGGCGCTAGAAATGCCAATTATTGCACTCAAATAGTTGGTTAACAATTTTTAGTTGCTCTTATGTCAGTAAACTATCATAATATTACTCGTTTAGTTGACAAGAGTATTCCATTTTGAAATAAAAAAATATTTACAATCCCATACTCAAATTTGGAGGGGGGTACCGGGAATGTGACATTTCATATTTGTCCACTGCATATATTTTTCTATATTTTTGATATGTTTTTCAACTGGTATCAATATACAATATAAGCCTAATTTAAAAACTGTTGCAATTTTTGGGATGTTAAACTTCCATTTGCCTAGCCTATATGTTTTCAACTGTATGATAATACATAATGACCATAACCTAATGATTTTACCTTGTAAGGCTAGAAAATGACGTTTTTTGCCGTTTTTTACCAGTTTTCGCAAAAACGTCGGTAGGGGGGGGGTCAAACGTCGATTTTAGGAACCGAAATTTTTTCAGCTTAAACTTTACTATCAAGAGCCCATCTGGGCTGAACTGCATCTTGCTAGCATGAAAAAGCCATATTCTGGAACACCCTAGCATATGGGTCTTTTCTGAACCTTGGGCAGCGTTCCTAGCATTGGAACATATGGGTCTTCTCTGAACCAGGGAATATCCCCCTTGTGCTAGGCAGTGTTCCTAGCATTGGAGCATTTTGGTCTCCTCTGAACCATGGGTTATTCCTCTTGTGCTAGGCAGTGTTCCTAGCATTCAAACATATGGGTGCTGCACCCCGATTACCCAGCGATTACTACAGTATAGTTTAACCTCTTGACTACCCAGAGTGACGAGATTTCTCGTCACCTCAGAAATGACCTTGGAACCCAGAGTGACGAGATAATCCGTCACAAAATATTTCACTAGAATTGCTCTTATTTGAACAATTTTTATCCAATTTACACAAAAATTGTTTTAAAATGTCTAGAAATGATCTCTGCTGTTTAAAGTTTACTAAATTGAACATCGTCTGTTGTATATATATGTAGTAAAATGTCCAAAGCTGGCAAAAATGAAAAATTATCTGGTTTCAACCTATTTTAGAACCTGGGATTCAAGAGGTTAATAAAGAGAGGTGAAATGTTGAATATAGCACGGAAATGCATGTTGTTGAAAGGACCTCATTCCTATGAGCTGTCAGGAAACAAGGATATTGTTCTTCATTGTAGGAAAACATTTTATGTTATAAAACTGAAATATTTTTCTGCATATTTGTTACCATAGCAACATCATCACTGCATCTTAAGAATATTTTACCACAATTGTTACAAATCCCAGATATACTAACTCTTGCAAGAAGTTCAATCAAAAATTAAATTGGTTACCATAGTAACTATTCCTCCTGCTGAAATCATAAAACAGTCATTTTGTTCCTTTTATACGACATGTATGCTTTGCTGTTATCAACATTTCATCATATATTTACAAATAATTTAAAGTGTCATAGCAATATTTTGCAATGTTTTCCTGCTATTGGCAATCAACTGTTTGTTAAATGATCAACCTTGAGAGCTGAAGAAAACCTCAATTGCATTCTCATTTTCTTCTTTAGTGAATCTATTTATTCTATTTCTCAGATACAACATCGCATCTCTCTTGCATAATTTTTTTTATTTAACATTTCTTTGTAGGAAGAATTCAATTTGCTAATATTTCCCAGAAGCAAAATTGGAAAATGATCGCATTTTAAACTGTAAATTATACTTTTTTAATTATCCAAGTATTTACAGTATGTGTACTTGAAAATAGCTTATGGAAATGAATCAGTATTGTGCAATATTTTCAGTGAGGTGAGACAAAGTATACATGGAATTAAAATTTGAAAAAATCTATTGAAACCTCTTGGAGAATAAAAACAGATATGCTTAAATTAAAAGCTAAAATGGTAAAATGGGGCAACCCGAAGAAAGGGAATCAAATTGTTGACCATGTTGAGCCACTTGTGTTCAAACTTTATTAGTGTGATAGTTATTGCTGTTTTCTGGTGTTAGAAAAACAGTTTTTTCATGAAACATTTTTTCAGGCATGTTTAGATCATCTTATGCCAAACTTTATATTTATGTAGACCAGTGATCTCCCTGAATGAAACCGACCAGGTGTTGTACATACCCAGTTGAAATTTCACTCATCCCTGTTGAAAATATGTTTGCACCTTGTCAAAAGGATGATCGATTGTACAAATCATAGAGCAAATGCACTTGACCTCTTTCCTCTTGAATAAGAGAATATTCTCTAACCTAATCAACTATATTATCCGAATACAGTAAAACCTGTCTAAGTGGAATACCTTTGGTACCTCTAAAATATTATACTTGGGAGGTGCTCCACTTATAGAGGTTTATTTTTTCACATTAAGTCAGTTGGACTTAGGACTCTGAAAAGTGTTTCACTTACAGAGGTGTTCAAATTCTAAAGGTGTTCCACTTTACAGGTTTCACTGTATGTAGCTGAAAATCCATTACATTATCTGTCAATAAGTATCTGTATAAACTGCTAAAATTCATTTCAAATCCAAACTCCCTTCATAAATGACCATCTAATTTTCAATTGACAGTACATGTATGTGTATAAATATCTCATAAGCTAAAGAACTAAAATCAGAAAACCAAAAAGTCGGTAAAACCTGATAATACGAGAGAATACTTTTTGAGCCAGAAAGTCTTCATTTAAAAGTGATATCTACAGAGAGTGTTTGTGGTTGTTTTTAGAGTAATGGTGTCTATTGGGGACACATTTTTACTAAGACAGGTTTAACCATATATTTACTTCTAATTTCAGGGACACTTCAGGCCAGGGCAGATTTTGTACAATATTCAGATCTTATTCACGTGGAGCTCAGGTAGGTGGCAGCACTTGTACTTGACATCAAAGTGTCACTCATACATAAAATGAATCTTTGGACAGTTGTTTTAGCTCATACAAAAATAATAGTGCAAGTCAAGTTTTTTTAATCTAGATAATTAACATTAAACATGGTTGGTCAATAATAGGATACAAGTTTTTCCCATCCTAACTGCCCTGTAATAAAACAAAATGAGCTTATACCCAACAAGGATTCTTACTCTTGAAAGCCCATGTAACCAAACTACAAGTTAGGAATTGCAAAAAATATCAAAATAATTTCTTTACCGAACTGACCATTGTAAAAATTCACAATTGCATCTCTTTACACAAAATTGACTAATATAGAGATAAAACAAACAGTAATGAGATCATCGGGTAGTCGTGTCATTTTAGTAAAAATATGAATGTCAAGTATATGAACTGAATGTTTAGACATTTCTACCATTCGATTTAAAAGTTTGCATTAATGGAATGTATGGGCTAAATGTGTACATTTTGGCCAGGAAATAGCTAATGAAAAATCAATCACACCAGGATGCTTGGAAAACTGAGGCAGAATAAAACTGGAATGTTGAAATAGATATACTTTTCTGGCAAAAAATTCATAGTTCAGACTGTTAATTATTATTCACATCAGGAAAAGCGGTGAAGAAATCATGAAATTCACAAGCGGAATTCGAAATAAGCATTTGCTCATTTCTTTTTTTATATCTAATTAATGTGTTCTCAAGATTTAATAGTGTTATTTATTCCAGTGTTTTTTCCTGTTTCCAATAAAATTAACATTTATTTCGTAAGGTTCTGGAGTATAGTTGTGCTGTATTGAGAGTTAACACTGCCCAAAGTGAATTATTTAAACTGTTTATGTTAGTTTGACATTAAGTCCTTGTCTCCCCTATTTCTCTACTTCATACCCAGATATTTTGTAGAGGTGATAAATATTGATGAGGGGGGAGTTGGGGGATTGTAAGATTTAGAGTAAGCCTATTTTTGAATGAAGAATATGTGAAAGTTTTTAACCAAACACCACCGATCGCAAATATTTGAGTTCAACTGTTGATAAGTGTGAATCTGTGGGAGATATCAAAATTGGGACAGAGAAAAATGTTCACATTCAGAGGTTTTCAGATTAGAGAAGTGTTTGGATGTATTGCAACTTTGCAAACTACCTACTGTATACTTTTTCTATTACTACTATGAATTCTAGATAAAGAATAGAATTTTTCTTGAATCATATTTTGTACATTAGGGACTGTATTCCTATTGAAGATACAAAACATCACAAAGTGATATATTATTTTGCCATTTTAGGCATTAGGGACTGTATTCCTATTGAAGATACAAAACATCACAAAGTGATATATTATTTTGCCATTTTAGGCATTAAGGACTGTATTCCTATTGACGATACAAAACATCACAAAGTGATATATATTATTTTGCCATTTTAGGCATTAGGGACTGTACAGGGTGTTCCAAAAGTAACAGGACTGGTGCTGGCATTTTGTAAATTTTGCAGTGAGTCTCTTCATATTTTCACAAATTGTACTTTGAAGTATTGCAACTAAAATTGTAAAGTTTCAGAAAAAATGATGAAATGCGGTTAGAGTTATGGTTTCTATAGTAACATGACATTCCAATACCCGGGGCAACTTTTTTCCTGAAAATGTGATATCTAACATTTTTGTATTACTGAAGAAAGTAACTAATTCACCTATTATAATACAACATTTCTTGTTTATTTTATTATTAGTTGCTTTGTTGTGAAGATGTTGCCATACAACTCAGATTCTAGTATAATTTCATAATGATAATAACATTTATTCAATTTCCTGGAATATCACTATGTTTAACAGTCTGAAGAATTCACGGTTGAGTTTTTGAAAAGACACATTTTGAAGCCAGTCATCCACCTTGATAGCGTGCCTGCCCGCAGGTCACCATTAATGACCATGTAGCTAAAGAGGAGCTAGGTCTTGAGGTCTAAAACCATGCATCATACTCTTCTGATCATGCAATATCTAATTTTACTTATATTGAGAATGGAATGCTAATCAGTGCTGTAAGACCTTAGAGATGAGAATGACCTACTCCAAATTGTCGAATCGACCCTGCGTGACATGTCCTCAAATGGGTTCACTCATGTGTTTGGGTCATGGATACAGAGTACTACTCTTGTACTGACCAAAGAGGACTGCTATTTTTCAAAGTAGAGGATACATAGGAATATCAAATGATGTAAAACAAATGTAATTCCCACCAGTTGTTGCATTTCAACTGTGATATGGCATGTACAAAATGCTTAATGTCTCTGTAACTTTTTGCATGGAATGTTGCCCCGAGTATTGCAGTGTCATGTTACTATAGCAACCATAACTCTACCCGAGTTTCATATATTTTGTCGACACTTTGCAGTCTTAGTCAGAATACATGAAAGTACATTATGTAAAATTTTGAAGACGATTGGTGCATATTTAACAAAATGCCAGCACCAGTCCTGTTACTTTTGGAACACCCTGTATTCCTACTGAAGATGCAAAACATCACAAAGTGATATATTATTTTGCCATTTTAGGGAATCTTACTTGTATATGACATCACAAACAAATGGTCATTTGATGGCATAGATCGGTGGATCAAAGAAATTGATCAGGTATAGTAAACTTTAAGGTTTATTAATAATATTATGCTTAAATACCAGTTTTGATTACAGAGCTCTGAAAATGTTTTGTTCTCAAAGTCATTGTGCATCACTGTTTTGCATGTTGAATAGGGGTCTCACGATTGCTCGGATTTGCTCGAGCGCTCGAGAAATTAGGTATGAGACGAGCATATCGATACTCAACTTGAATATTGGTTAAAATTCTGTCTCGTTTTTAACCTCCCAAAACAGCAAAATCATGTTCGAAGCAGTTTAGATGAGATTGTATCTTCCCATTTTTTCCATTTTCCATTTTCCTTGTGTTATGTGGCATAGAATGTATCTGCAATATAGGATATCCAGTTTCTTTTAATGAAAAAAAATCATGGATGGACACTGGACACGAGTGGACATTAGTTTTAGGAGGACATTAATAGTTTCATACTGTTTCACGAGTTTGAAATTCGGGGGTTGGTACATTTAGAATCTCATGTCTTGTTTACCCATATGTTTTTAAAAATAAAAATATTTGTTACGCTCTTACATTGCTCGTATTGTTTGTATCGTGTCATGAGGTAAATATCGTTGCTTGTATCGAAATTAAAGAAAAAAAGATAATGAATCGCGGGACCCCTAATGTTGAACGCAATTGAGGCACAAAAAATTAAGAATATTCATCATAATTTAGTATATATTTTCAAAATAAATGATATGCATTTTGTGTAGTAATTTAATCAAAAATGTTTCCTATCTTATGAGAAATATAGATATGCTAAACTCTTGATAAATCAGAAACACTTGATCAAGAGTTTAGCTAAGTTAAAGAAAGTTAAAGAAAAAAAGATAACATATACTGGTATATACAAGTAAAAATGAATTTAACTTTGAATAATATGTTTAGAGAAAAAGCTAATCGTATTGATGAAGAATTCTTTACTTCAGCATGCACCCGGTGTACCAAAGATACTAGTGGGGAACAGACTTCATCTTGCTTACAAACGTCAAGTTGCGGAAACTTGTGCAGAAACTTACGCTTTGAAGAATGATATGACGTTCTTTGAAGTTAGTCCATTATGTGACTTCAACGTTGTTGAATCATTCGCTGAGCTGTCGCGTGTGGCTCTGAAAAGGAATGGCATGAACAGATTGGGAGGTCATTGTAAAGGTTGGTTTAAGTCTCACATAGAACACTATGTGTGTATTTTTGTAATAAATCTAGTCACCTCGCCCACTTTCTCCCTTACTCTGGCCTGTGTGTGGAAGGGAAATGAGTGTGGATGTGTGTGGGGGGATGATAGACATAAATAAATAAAAAAGTGAGTTATTTTCTAGATACTTTAGGTAATTCCAATCAATAAATCAAAATACATAAAATTGGTGTATTTGTAAAAAACATGGAGAATTTGATACGCAGTCCATCAATTTTGTTATGTTTCATCATCAAAGTAAAAACTAGATTAATATGGCTGACTTTGAAGTTTTCCAGGATATTTTCTCAAGAACATAAATATCTGAACCCACCAAATATGAATATACAATATTTAATAGCTATTCCAAGATTCAAAAAATGCTTTATTTTTAATTTCAGTGTTGGATCTGCAGGAACTTGCATGCCGGACTATCGTTTCACATACTACCATATATGGAATAGAACAGTTGCCTCTCCCTAATCCAATGAAATCTCACCTCAAGTCTTATGCTATGACAAACAAAACGCGGACTAGAATGCAAAGTTTTGCCCACCGTGATAAACACAAAAAGAAAATAATGAACCCAACTGACTCCCCTCCGATGAATTGTAGAAAAAGCTGCTCTTTATCATAGTTGTAGGCTTGACCTGACAAGAAATTTCACGTTGGTTCTAATGTTTAGGTGATATCCTGGTATCATATAGGTGATATCCTGGTGTCATATAGATGATATCCTTGTGTCATATAGGTGATATCCTGGTGTCATATAGTTGATATCCTGGTGTCATATATTTGATATCCTTGTGTCATATAGTTGATATCCTGGTGTCATATAGTTGATATACTGGTGTCATATAGGTTATATCCTGGTGTCATATAGGTGATATCCTGGTGTCATATATATGATATCCTGGTGTCATATATGTGATATCATGGTCTCGTATAGATGATATCCTGGTGTCATATAGGTGATATCCTGGTGTCATGTAGGTTAGGGTGGCTCAAAATAATTTTTTTTTGGAAATGTTATGCTCCCTACATGAATCGAGTTGCATTTTGGGGTTAATATCACCTGTGATTTTTTTCAAATTTTTTAGTCAACTTTTAGGGGTCCCCCACAGCCTTTGAAGTTTGCCCATAGGCTTAACATTAGTGGGCGTCGCCTAAAATTGTACTTTGTAGAAGTTTTCTTCTAGAGTGATTTATATATGTTGTTGAAGAAAAACAACATTGTATATGATATGATTAGATGTTTAAATCATCATATTACTCTGTTTCATCATGTGAACTTATAAAAAAGGTTATACTTACAATATCCTACTAACAAAATATTAGGTACATTCGACCAGTATAATTATTTGAACAAGTACAGTTTTAGGGAATCATGTCTCATATATGATTTGGTAAACTGTAAAAGATATATTCATTCTTGACATTTGATGTTTTAAACATGGTTCAGATCAGCTTTTCTTATATGTGACACTCTTCCTTTAAGATCTGAGAGTACAACACATACATTGTCACGATGCGCCGCGTCACAGGTCATTTGAAATATTCCTGCAGATGATACCAGAACTTGAGACTGTGAAGAGGTGCTGTGGTTGTCAAGGGGGCACTTAGAAAATACCATCCATAGAGACAGACCACAAATCCCACAAGTTGTGTTATCCTCTGCAGTTGCTGTGGAGTAAGTTGGACAAATAAGTGGCTGAGCATGAATATCTTCAAGAGGTAGAGACTCTTCCCCATGAACTTGGCATAGTGGTAGGCTCCAGGTTGGTCGCAGGTCTTCGCAGTGTAAGACAGAGCAAGAGAGGAGAAGCAGGAGCTTGCTACAGCACTGCTCAACATCCCACAGCCTGTACAATTTGCAACTGCAAACCGGGACAGCCTGAATTCAACTCAGTTGCTGCTCACTTAGGCAATGTTAAACCATCACTAGCAATGTTTGTTATTGAGATCGAGATCTTGGCTCTTATTGTGACAATGTATGTGTTGTACGCTCATAGCAACTTATGTTCAAACCCAGAATTTCTGTCAAGACCTGCATTCTGTTAATGATCCAGCTGAACGAGCAGTGAAGCTGGTACAGGAATGCTCTCAAATGACCCGTGACGTGGCGCATCGTGACAATGTATGTGTTGTATGCTCAGATCATAGAGGAAGAGTGTCACATATAAGAAAATCTGATCTGAACCATGTTTAAAACATTAAATGTCAAGAATGAATATACCTTTTACAGTTTAAACCATTATAATGACAATACCAAATCATATATGAGACATGATTCTCTAAAACCGTACTTGTTCAAATAATTATACTGGTCGAATGTACCTGATATTTTGTAAATAGGATATTGTAAGTATAACCTTTTATATTTAGTTCACATGATGAAACAGAGTAATATGATGATTTAAACATCTAATCATATCATATATAATGTTGTTTTTCTTCAAACAACATAAATAAATCACTCTAGAAGAAAACTTCTACAAAGTACGATTTTGGGCGACGCCCACTAATGTTAAGCCTATGGGCTAACTTCAAAGGCTGTGGGGGACCCCTAAAAGTTGACTAAAAAATTTGAAAAAAATCACAGGTGATATTTACCCCAAAATGCAACTCGATTCATGTAGGGAGCATAACATTTCCAAAAAAAAATTATTTTGAGCCACCCTAATGTAGGTGATATCCTGTTGTCATATAGGTGATATCCTGGTGTCATATGGATGATATCCTGGTGTCATATAGGTGATATCCTGGTGTCATGCAGGTGATACTCTAGTGTCATATAGGTGTTATCCTGGTGTCATTTAGGTGATATCCTTGTGTCATATAGGTGATATCCTGGTGTCATATAAATGATATCCTGATGTCATATAGATGATATCCTGGTGTCATATAGGTGATATCCTGGTGTCATATAGGTGATATCCTGATGTCATTTGGGTGATATCTTGGTGACAGGCAGGTTTAATTCTGGTATTATTCAAGCGTTTATCTGATCTTATACTAGAATTTAGAGATGTGAATTTATAAGCAATATTGAAAATCAGACCAATTTAAATGGCTTGTTAGGGATGAATAACAAAATTATATCCTATATTTATATTTGTAACAGCATTGGTACAGGAGGTCTATAAGTCTCATGTATATAATAAACTGAGTGATTCACACAGACACAATACACATTAAATGTGTGAAAAACAGAATGTGCACAAGACACAGAATCAGCACAAGATATGTGCAGTTGCGCACATTTGCAATAAATATATGTGCACACGGGAATGTGAAGTTCATTGAGGAATTTGTACTAAAACAGGAGATGTGCACAAAATTATGTACTTTGCAAAAGCAATTGGTGTGTACAAAACAGAAAACATGGCAAATATGTAAAAAGACATTGCACAAAGATGTAAAAAATCGCACTTTCAAAAACATGGAATTGGAACACAGCTGGAAAAGTTTTGATTTGCCAAACAGAACTTCGGATTTGAGTGGTGTTATAAAGCTATTCCTAGAGTGCACCGATTTACATTGAAGTACTTGTATATGGGGCCTGGTTGAATATCAATTTGTCATTATTTTTGAAGGCAATAAGATTTAATTCAATTATAGCTTTGATGTTTGATTTGGTAAGGTGTAGCCAACATGAGGGAGGGTGTCTGAGTCTAATGCTTTCTTTTATTGGTTTTGCTATGAAATATTGACATTTTGAGCCAGTCCATAAGTATGATAATTTGGACAAATCATGAAACATTGACATTTTGAGCCAGTCCCAACCCAAAGATATCAGGTTCTTAAATTCATTACTCTAGAGACAAATTTTATCATTTTAAATATCCAATTCAAAATTTATGCAATAGTTTTATGTTTTTCACTCATGATTTTCAGCAAATGTTATGATTGGTGATGGTGTATGTCTATTTAAACCTGTCTTATCTGAGTGCCACTATCAACAGCCAAAAGTGTTCCAATTTTAAGTTTTTCCATCCTCCTAAGCAGGTGTCCAGAATCCGTACCTCCTTCTTCCTTCTTGGAAAAAGGAAGAATATATTCTTGATTTTGAAGACCTGCGTACGGAGGCTGAAGTTTTTCCAATTTCGAGGTTTCTTTAACATGGAAGTCAATATGATATTAAAAAATTAAGCCGAGATAGTCAGATAGAGAGATTTTGCTGTAATTTTTTTTAATTAGAAAGACCATGGAAAAACATTTGGTTCAAGCACATGGAGTGGATTAAGCAGAACAGTGAACAATATATCAAAAAATTATCAAAATTTTAAGAAGTCAAATACGAATCTCATCCTTATCAACTTTTAGGTCACTCCAAGTAAATAATACATTTAACATCCCTTTTAAAGGATAAACCTCAAAGATTGGTGAGAGGTGAAAAACTAATTATTTGAACAAAACACCTTTATCATTTTCTATGTGGGTATTTAATAGTACACATCATTCATAGGGGGTGTTAAACACATATTTAAGTTCCAATGGCCTTACAATTAATACAGTGTTCCTACCCCTTTGACTATTTATTTGTTGTATAAACACTATTAAAATCAATCAGGAGCGGCTCAGTTACAATCAAATAATATGTTGGACAATTTGATTTAAAATTATGAATTTAAAATGTTCATGTTTGCTTTTAGATTCTTGAACATAAAAATGTAGTGTTGGATATTGTGTGAAACTAGTCAATTTTCCAGTACTTGGGGAAAATTAAATATTCAAAGAAAATAAGTAGAGTATAGACGTGTCATCCTCAAAGTACAGGCTTCCCAACCTACATGTTTCTTCCAGTTCTGTCAGATTTAGGGGACCTCTCTTGTGATGACAACTGTTACAGTATACACTGGCGGATCCAGAAGCTAGCAAGGGTGGGATGCACACTTCAAAAATTCTGGGCCCCTAGAATCAAAAATAGGGCCCATTTTAAAAATCAGGTCTAAAAAGGTCCAAAAATGCCAAGTTATGCCAAAAAGGCCCATTTTTGAGGCGCTACAAGGGTGGGGTCCTCATGGGCCCACCCCCCCCTGAATCTGCCAGTAGTCCACCCCCCCCCCCCCCCCCCCCTGAATCCGCCAGTAGTATATGATATCCAATCAGCAAAAAATGTTACGAGTTCTGTAAAACCTGTTTAATCTAAATGCTACTTGTACCAAAAGTGTTTGGATTAGGAGGTTTTCATATTTCAAGGTTTCTGTAACATGGGATCGGGGGAGTAAATGGGTGGTTTGAAAATTGGGAAAGTCAGGTTCGATTATAGACAGGTTTTACTATACTTAAAACTAAGGTACTGCAATGAAATCTTTTTGTCTATAATTTAAAAGATGAATGAATTTATGAGAACTTACAATGTATATTATTTTGCAGTATTTGTTTATGCCTTGAATCGAGTCTGTGACCCCCTTCTCCCCAACTCCGTATTAATTTTCTTTGCACAAATGCAGCATTCTTAAAAATATTTCAAGTGATTGCAATATTATCACAGTTCTAGCCAAAAGTGTGTAAATATTTTGTCATTTCCTCATTTTCAAGTCGGTGCAAATTGTTTTTCATTAGGGTGCGAGGGTTTTCAAGTGGGTGCAAATGGTTTTCAAATGGTTGCAAATGGTGTTTCAAGTTGGTTCTCTAATCCCATGGAGAACACTGGGAAATAGATAGGGGTAACCAGAGACTCGATCCAACAATATTTTATTGAATTAAATCAGAAAATGTGAGGACCACACATAGTAATTATTCAGTGTCAATTCACAAAATGTAAAAATGGATTGATATTTCATTGATTTTGTAAAATGTGTCATGGTTATTCATGTTTTCAAATGTGAGGAGTCGAGATATAAAGGGATATTGGCAAGGAATAATGTATTGCAATTCCTCATTGTTTCTTTCTGATTCCTCTCTGTTATTCCTACAGGCATGACCATTAGAGGAATCGTGAAGGAATAAAGTGTTGGTGCATTGCTTTTTCTATTCCATGCTAATTTCACTTCATTATGCCTAAGAGCATGGCCACCATGACATTTTTCCAAAAGTTCTCAAAAGGTTTTACATATACAATTCTATGTACATTTACTTATGTATTTTGTTAACTGTTTCAGCAACCAACTTATGGAAATTTATTTTGATTTTGTAGATACAAATCGTGGGCTTTCAAGAGAAAGCCCATGTACAAATCTAAAAGTAATTTTTGCACTTCTTTAACACTCATTTGAACAAAATCGATATGTAGAATATTGTGTAAAACATTTGAGATGACCCCCTAAAATAAACTAGTAGCTAAGACATTGTATAACAAATACACGTTGCCATGACCACTTAGCATTATGTACTTACAGAAGCGTTATTGTAAATAGAATGAAATGTTTTAATTTATCAGATATGTTGTGTTAAGGTAAGAATGGTCGAATGACATTTGACAGGACATTATTGCAAATGCTTACATATAAGGTATATGTTAACAGTGAAATTGTAAATGGTTCACACCTTTAGGGGCATTCGCAAATATATGATTCACAGATTTAAAAGTAAAGCAATAGTTAAGGTGCTATTTGAACTGATTGGATATATCAATGAATCATCTGATATTAAAATATGATTTATGCATACTGTCAATTGAACAGCCTCAAATTTACCATTGTTCAGTGCTCACCATAAGTAAATGACACCTGGATTTGCTGAAGTGAGGATTTCCCATGTAAAAAAAGAAGAGAATTTTCAAGAGGCTTAGTGGATGAGAATATACAAAATGTAAAATATACAAAACTTAAGGGATGTCTATTTGGACATTATTGGAAAGTATGAAGTCTCAAATCACCATGGTCCGAAAATGGTGATAGAAAATCCAGGTGTCATTTATTTATGGTGAGCACTTTAAATGAATTGAAGCATGCCTTAATTAGAAAAATACTGAAGGACTGTACATTGGATTGTACTGTTTTAATCACAGGCTGGTATCGAAAAAATTGTCCGCTGTGACGGAGCGTGCTATTTTGCATAGAAACACTAGGAAATCCACACAATTTATTTTTTTACTCATATGTTTTGCTATATCAAAGAAAATTACTGACTCCATGCAATGAATATATCATTTGCGGGTAACTTTAACTTCTGTTTGAAGTCCAACAACGCTAAGAGTAAAAGCGGCGTAAAAACGGCGTCGGAGTATCATACTCCAAAATGTACCATTTATTTTATTTCTTTTTAATGGTACAATATAGCGACACAATAATATTTACATATGTTTGAAGGATAACTCTGAAGGTATTAATGAGATTTTTATGTATTGGGTATTTTTAATTTTTTCAATAAAAAATAATGTTTAAATTTTTTGTCCGCTGTGACGGAGCAGTTTCAAATCTGAAATACGTTAAGAATTTAGATTTATAATATATCTCTTTATAACTACACGTTAGAGGAAGGAGCGTATCAAATCTCTTTCGTAAAGTATTCTGAAAAATAAAACGGAATAAAAGTACACAATTCAAATTCTGAGATGTATATACGACCACTCTTTAAGCTTCTTTTCTCAGTTTGTACTGTAATCCAAGTTATGCATGGATGGTAACTCATGAAAATGATAGTCAACTTTATTTCAGTATAGGGTATTTGCCTTTCGTTGTACCTACTGTGGATCCATCACCTGACATGGTCATTTTTTATGGTAACTTATATACAGTAATATTGTGTGGTAAAAGGTTATACATCTGTCGGAACGCAAGATGTCTGTGCGCTATTTCGAATAAATTCATAGTATCCCTTTTTTTATGTTACGCGGTAAACACGATACAAAAATATGCCATATTCCGCAACGAATATGCCATATTCACTTGCGGTGTATGACAGATTCACCTGTGTTGGCATACACACTAACCAATGAGAACGTGATACGGAAGTATGCAATTGTCAATTGCATGGATTGAACGAACAAGTAAAACTTTATTAATTATTATAATGATTACTGAATCAACAGTACAGTTTATCGAATACATCAACGTATGCAGAAGTATCACTCACCAATCTCACGTAATAAACTTACCCAATCAATCCAGGATTCATATATTAGTACGCACTGACAGTATTGGTAATCCAGCGTAGTTTTACATTCAGAGTCGATTCTCGCAACCAATCAAACCAAGTCTTTCTGTATCACGTTTTTCACCTGCGGAATATGTCATATTCAACTGCTGTATATGGCATATTCCGCAAGTGAGTATGACATATTCTGAAGATGAGTATCGGGTATTCACTGAATTCAATGCATCAAATATTCACTGCGGAATATCGCATACTCACCTGCGGAATATGCCATATGCCGCAGGTGAGTATGGCATATTCACCCGTATCACAAATACCGCGCAACCATGAATGTATGCCATATTCCGCGTAACAATTTACACTACACGTGACATTCTAAGACGTCTTGGCGAAAACGTATTAGATATATTATGTTGAGTTTACACCATGTTGATTCATGTTGATTTCAGTACAAACCTCCGAAAAATGCTAAGAGTTTTTATCTCAGATTAACATTACCCCAGATCTCCCAGAGGCTACTTGTTATAATTTAGAAAAGTGATTTGTGACGTTCTTTCTTCTTAGGGTACTTTTAAAAGGTATAATTTGAATCTTAAATTCTTTACGTAGTTCACAGTTAAAACTGCTCCGTCAAAGCGGACAAAAAATGTAAACATTATTTTTTATAAAAAATATTAAAAATACCCAATACATCAAGATATCATTAATACCTTCAGAGTTATCCTTAAAACATATGTAAATATTATCATGTCGCTATATTGTACCATTAAAAAGAAATAAAAGAAATGGTACATTTTGGAGCATGATACCCCGGCCCCGTTTTCAATAGCTCTTACTCTTAGCGTTGTTGGACTTCAAACAAAAGTTAAAGTTACCCGCAAATGATATACCCATTGCATGGAGTAAGAAACTTTCTTTGGTATAGCGAAACATATGAGTAAAAAAATAAATTGTGTGGGTTTCTAAGTGTTTCTATGCAAAATAGCACGCTCCGTCACAGCGGACAAATTTTTCGATACCAGCCTGTGTTAATGCGAGAAGAAATATAATTTTTATCAGCATATGTGGTGTGAATCAGATTATATCATGACAAAAATGACGAGGAATAATGAATAATCTGAAAATGACATTGAATAGTCAGGTAATAGCCTTGAATAATCAAGCTAATGTCATTGAATAGTCAGATGAGGTCATTGAATATTCTGAAGTTGACATTGAATAATCAGATGAGGTCATTTAATAATCTGAAAATGACATTGAATAGACAGGTCATAGTCTTGAAAAGTTGAGACAATGTCATTGAATTATCAGATTAGGTCATTGAATAATACGAAAATGACTCTGAATACTAGATTAGCAGTCAGGTTTTAGCCTTGAATAATCAAGACAATGCCATTGAATAATCAGATTAGGTCATTGGATAATCTGAAGAGTCCTGAATAGTCAAGGCAATGTCATTGAATAATCAGGTAATGACATTGAATAGACTTGAGTGATAAATGTCAAAATAAGTCAATACATGATAATGTGTGTATATATAGGACATTGTAGTATACAACCAGCATACAGTATGTTTTCTCAATAAATTCTATGTTGAAATAAAAAATAAAACTTGATATTGTTGTTGTCATTATTAGTGACAGTACAGATATTAAAAGATGATGGGGTATGTTGAGATCTATTATGAGGATCTTCAAACATAATATGAGCCCCGCCATAGGAAAACTGGTCTTATCACAAAAATTGAAATTGTGCTAGTGTAACATGGTCATTTTCACATTGTTATATTTCTACTTTTCATATTGACCAATCCCCATCCATGTCATTTTAACAGGTCCCTTCATTACTTTACACTAGTGTTTCAAATATTTAATTCCAATGTTTTCAATTCATGTGTATACTTTCCACTTTAGCTTCTATTGTCTAAACCAGTTTTACAGGTATGCATGCTGAGTTTGTTTTATGTAATGTTTTGTGTTCCTTATATGGTTTACACATTCACTCACATGTAGCTGAGTTTGGGTGTTGGCCCAGCCTCAGTTGTTGCTTAGAGTTAGATGATAATGTGGATTGTACAGAAAACGTTTGAAGTTTATTTGAAATAGACTATTTTATATATTTCAACTTTAGTTATCTTTTACTTTTATTTGCCACCCACGGCCTTACACTCGCCCCGTTACATTTGGTACCAGGAGTGGGGTAGGCACAAATAGCGACAGTGGTGTAGGCAATATCGATAAGATAGCAGCAAAAGTGTTGAGAAACTGTTGATTTTGGATTTTGAAAACATTTGATATACAATAATGAAGAATGTGGATTACTATTTGATGATAACCTGTTGGTTCTGCAAGTCTCCAGGGCATACTAAAAGATGTTGTAAACTGTTCAAACAAGCGAAGTACTTTTGTTCGATGTGCAGCTGTTATGGACACCGTGATCGAGACCACAGTCAGCCAGACAGGTATGTTAGGACTGTTTCCATACACCCTGTGAATGTGAAATCTGTGTCAATTCAGACAAAAAAGTGCAAAGACACTGATAAACCGAAAAGTCACAACAAATATACCCAAGCAGAAACTGTTGACATGAATGAATACAGTTCCAATATGGCCAATTTCAAGCGTATTCAAAGTGAACTGTTTGGTCAGAAGAAAGGAAATGATATCTACAAAGCTCAACTTAAGTCACATTTGAAAACTATTGAACTATTGGAACAGGATGTGAAAAATAACAAAATGAACAGTGATCAAGACTTATCTGAAATCAAGGCATCACGTCAACGGATCATTGATCTGCAATCCAAAAACGATGTCTTTTCTAAATTGATCAAAGATCTCAACCTCAAACTAAATGATCAACATCAACAAATATGTGCGTATCAGGATAAAATCAAGAATTATGTGAACATGTTGCCAAATACAGTTAACACCTCTGGATATATGGAGTTTCTTGGAATGCGCAATCAATTCAAAATGACTACTTCGCCACAATGTAAATCTAAGTCAGATGTACCACCAGAGGAGAATTCGATCAGCAGATATTAGTGCTAAATAATGTAGGAATCTAAAAATTCTCATCTTCTATATGATGACACCACACAATCTATATCTGCCATATTACAATGATATGATGCCGACTTTTGATGTCCAATAATTTTGCCTTTTACTGATAACAATGTGATATATAATAGATGCTGATTGCCGTATATTTATGCTAGGATACTGATTCTGATGCGGATTCATGAAATTAAATTATTGACTTTTAATGAATGTTTTTTAATTATCTCTAACAATTCAGGTTGCAACCATATGTTTTATATTCTAACACATTCTTATACTTTAATTGTGAATGACATGATGTTATTCATGCAAGTGATAAAGTTTGTTTCTTTGCTGCATTTATAACTGTTTGTAGGTAAATTTGTTATGATCGTAATATTTGCATTTAATGTTGATATTGTCTTTAATCCCAAATGGTGTAATATATTTAGCCTAAAATGGTGTATGGCCATCTATATTGATGTATTATTGCCTAAAATGGTGTACAAGGTAACTGCCTAAAATGGTGTATTGCTGCCTATAAAATGGTGTATTAATTAACTGCCTAAGTGGTGTATTACTTGCCTATGAATTGATGTATTACTTGCCTATGAATTGGTGTATTACTTGCCTATGAATTGGTGTACTACTTGCCTATAAATTGGTGTACTACTTTGCCTTTAATGGTGTATCACAGCCTACCATGGTGTATTATTTTGTCTTTAATGATGTAGATTATATTAAGCCTATAATGGTGTTGCCAAGGGATAATTGTTTAGAGAGCCAAAAATGTGCCCAAGATTAAGAGGAAAATGTGCTAAATTCAAATCCATGTTTTGGTCTATATCTGCGAGGAAAAATGTATAAGACATAAGGCATGGGACATTTGAAAGGTCTCTTTGTGCTTTTTAAGATAGACAAAAAATCAAAATATTGAAAAAATCTGTAATAATACCGGTTTTCCTGTGGCCTGGCTCATATATGAATACAGATTCAAGAAGAGGAGGAAATTACCCAGGATTCAAAATATAAAATATAAAAAAACAATTATTCCAAGATGTTGGCGAAGCTATTCCTCAAATGCATATTTCAATCATACAAATGTTATTTGATTTATTTTTATACATTTATTTCAATGATATATTTCTTCATATATAAACTATACATAAATAACTTTATTCATTTTATGTACAAAACAATATCAAAACTTGATTCAACAGTTTTTGCGGTCTCTTTTGTTAAAGTCTTAATGTTTATAAGCATTCATTTTTGGCATAAAATAGCGACTATACCAGCAGATTCACTTGTATTACACATAGCCTATTTAATACATTTATACATCTCTTTCACCGTCAAATAATTAGAGGTTATGTCACTATCGTGGCATATATGCCCGAGGTCTCAGTGATATATGGCCCGACCTTGGGAGGGACATTGATCTCTGAGAACCGAGGGCATATGTGCCACGATAGTGACATAAACGATTTATAACATACATATGATTATGTAGAATGGTCAGAGAGTACCGTTTTCTAATAGAATTGACAAACAAATGGTTTGAAAATGATTGAAATGAGTTTAGAAAAATTGCTCGCGCAGTTTTATCTTTGATTGATTGGTTATGACGTCAGCGCCTTGACCAATCAGAAAGTTAGCGGGCGCGGGCTTTTCACAACTTATATTGGCCCGCTGTCTTGTGTACACTTTGCACTATGCATCATCATAGGTATGTTATAAATACATTTATACATCTCTTTCACCGTCAAATATACATCAGGGGCATAGCCAGCTTTGTCAGGGGGTGCAATTGTGGCATAAACAAGCCAAAAAATAATATTTATTTTGAATTTTACAAAAATTGATGCTTTCCTTTAAAATAGAGCTAAAAGCTTCAAATAAAAAGCATTTTAAAGCTCTCGCCTTCTTTCTCATGTTTTATTTTTATTGGTTCGCACCCCCTGGCTACGCCTTTGTATGTGTAATTCAAAGAAATACATGTACATTCATCAGTACAGTCACTCTGACATATACTGTAGATTGGGTTAATTTGGCGCTACTTAATTTGGCGATTTTGCCATTTTTGGCATATTGGCGGCTATTTAATTTGGCGGATATGCAAAAAAAAATTTTAATTAACTTACGCGTTGTTTGCGAATTTTATGTTCATTTTTTCTTTTGAGGACCACTGGCAATATTCACCACGTTTGTACATTTTTGTGAGACCATCCTTTACATTTTGCACCTCGATTGATGCTGCTACTATACTGCACTTTTCCTTTCTAGTTTTTCCCTGAGTATTAGTAACTGACTGACCAGTTCTGAGCCAATTTATGAGAGACATTTTTTCATATTTTTGGAAAAAACTAAACCGGAAGTGGCCTAAATACACTCGACGAAATACCCTAGATAATTCCCGGGGATTCATTCTAAATTTTGGCGAAGATTTATATTGGCGAATATTTCAATTTTGCCAAATTCGCCAAATTAAAGCGGGCGCCAAATTAACCCAATCTACAGTAATATTATTAACATTATCCATCAACAAGATTTCTTAATCATAATCTAGTCTAGTTTTTACAGATTCATTATAAATATTATCAATTATTAACAGACTGATCATATTATGCAATCAAAAAAGTAAAATTCATGCATTAAGCCCTTTTGTAGTCCCAAATAGGTCCAGTAATACAAGACTAAAAATTATGTCATTGATCGTGGATAACAACACAATATCAAAATATAACTTGATCTTAAGTACAACTGTTAGTGTTAGCAACCTTTTCAGTTCATTATTACATCGACTCCAGGATATCCTCTTTTATACAGTATGACTTCTTAATGAATAATATGATTATAATTAAAAGTCCAAATTATCGAGAACCCTTTGAGATGAGAACTCCGCATCGATTTACATTTCTTGCTTCAGATCTCTTCATACTTTTCAAGCACCAAGCGTAATCGTATGACTTCACAAGGAATTTTTTCAAATCTTGTCCATTTGGGAATTTGCGTCCATAACATGTTACCGGTCGTTTAATCTCTAACCAACGAGCGAACAATTTACACCCTTGTGTATCAACATTTTCCAATTGTTCGCGAATCTCATCATTGTTTATGTACATTCTAAGGGGTCCATTTGTTGAGTGGAGACACCTGTTGGCCAATTTTATATAAACTGGGAACCTTCGTGTGTATGGTTTAGTTTGCACTGCCAACTCGTACAGAAATGACCTCGATCTGCTCAGGTTTTGCTTCACAGAGTAAATAGAGCGGAACTCGAGGATGTTGCTCACAGGTTTCCAAGGGGACCAATCAAGGGTTGCACTAGAGAAGTGGATTTCTGCGACATTTTCCCTTGGATGACGATGCACCTGTAAATACAGAAGTAATGATCATGATACACAATGTAGTATTTGAAATCTATGTGAAAATGGCGAGCCATATTACATTTGTATGACAAAATTCATAAAATCAGGTAACACAAATTGCAATGGCACACTTAAAGTAAAATTGGCCACAGTTATACTACATCTGTGCCTTATCAGACTATGGCTATATAGACTATGCGTTGTTTTGTTATAGATTATGAGAAACTACAAAAATGTAAAAATATTCAATTTTCTATGCCTAATATTTACCTTGGTAATTTTTTCAGAAGATGGGGACGTTTTCTTTGTTGTCATCTTTAACCTTTTCACAACTTTTGATTTGGGAGTAGTGGCAGTCTTCAAGATTGCTTTTGGTGTCACTTTTGGGCTCATCTTGAATTTTCTCGGAGCTTTCTTGGGGGTTGATTTCTTCTTGCTCTTGATTATCGGGGTCAACACATCATCTGATGCATCATGGGAATCTGGATCACGGAGAGCGTCAAACATGTTTGTCAACTCGCCACGCATTCCTTTTCCTTCACGCTTGCGGACTTCTTTCTCATAGGCCTAACAAAATAAACAAGTGTTTAGTAGTTAGTTCACTCGTACAAATGTACTTCTGTACGGTGCTAGAAAAACAGTTGAATATATCAAATTAGAAACAAAAGTAATAAACACTACAGTATAGAGGGATGCAGTTTTTATCAGGATTAATATAAGAGGACAATTCAGGTTTATCAACAAACTTAAAGTCAAGTTAGAAATGTAAAGAGTTTTTAAACCTACCTCAAAATATTCAACTCCATGTTCCCTGTAACAAATGGCCATCATCATGTCAATTATAGTTTGGAACTCTGCTAGTTTCAAATGTTTCCCTCCAGTCTGTGATGATATTTGCTTGAAGAACTTTGTAGAGTCTGCATGATCTTGGCACTGTACTCCATATATCTTCACACCCTTAAAATAGATGTCACCCGTGTCACAAATATACATGACTCAATTCATCAATTGCTGATTCCGGATTAGGAGGTGTTTAATTTACAGAAAAAATCAACAAATTGAGCAGTGCTCAGTGAAGAATTTGGAAAAATATTTTACCAAACAAAAAATTAGAATTTGCCATCCAGTTTTGCAAAAGGTCCCAAAGAGAATACTATCTAGTACATGAATCTATCTCATTTATTTGACTTAAAAGTTAAATGACAAACCAATGACATAATAATGATTGATAGCTGACTCACCAATTCTTCATAAAGCTTTTTGGTTTCTGTCCTCCAATTAATCTTCCCTTTATTGGCGGGATAGTTTGGCTCATGAGGAATGGCGTCTCCGATCATTACTAGGGACTTCTGGGAGCCAGGCGTCCAATCAAATGATGTCCTCACCTAAAAATTAAATTAAAAATATAAAATATGTATGTATGGTAGAATCACTTAATTATTCAATATGAACACATTGGCTATAAATCATGAACACTTATTTTGACTGCAACAAGAAAAATCAAAAAGTGAGTTCCTAGTTTTAAATCATATTACACTACAAGTGCCGTGGTATTCATAAAACATTTACAAAAATAGCAACTGAAAATTAAATATTGTAAATTAAATCTTACCTTCTGAAGAACCAATTCATAGCATTCTGCATAATCTCCGCCTCCAGACCCGCCAGTATTTTTAACGAAGTCACAGAGTGCTGCGATGTCATTGGTGAAATCAATCTGCTTTGTCACATAGTACGTTGTAGCATCGCAATAGTCACCATGTGCGATGACTCCAACTTTGAGTGATGGAATATCCATGAAGAGTCGTTGAATGATATGGTTTACCTGAAACATATTTAATGAATTGTCTAGCAATAATCTAGCAGTAAACAGTAAAACCTGTCTAAATTGAACACCAATGGGACTGACAGGTGTTCACAGTTTGAGTTTTTTTTAGCAAAGCATGGCAGATTTAAAAAAATGGAACCAAAAAAAGTAAAAGTCCAAAGTCATGTTAGCGATTAATCAAGAATCAATATACAATGTATTTATCGCATCCTACGACCCCCACTACATTTGTGGTCGTACGCGCGAATCATTGGTCAGTCAATGTATTTACAAAGTTGGACAAAATACTACGCATTGCATAATTAAATGACCCACCTCCATACATTCATGAGTATTTATGAATCCTCTTTATGTAGTTGAACCGCCAATTGTATGGGTTTATCGACAGATCGAAGAGATTTTCGTTTTATGTAGTTTATGTACTGCAATTGGTTATTAAGCACAACTACACGTACCTGTTTGCGCACTTCTGTGAGGCAAGAAGACATCGAGCCAGTCGTATCGAAGCTGAAGATAATTTCCATTGGTCCCCCTGGAGTGTGCGTCATCATGGACCCAGTGCTGCCGTCTGTTAAATCTGCTGTTGGTGTACTATTTGGTGCCATATAACTACAATTAAAATAAAATTTATTACTTTTTAATTATTAAAGAACTGTATACAATACATATTGTACATGGTCAGTTCATAAATTAGAATTAGTTATTCAGTAGCCTTCATGTACAAAGTCCCTCAAAAAGGTCAACAACTTGTGATATTACCCCCACCCATTAATTACTCCCAAGTTCAAACACTCTCCTTACTCGAGTCTCTAGCCAAATTACTTAGGTATCTCTCTCCCTTTCCTCTGTAAATACGTACTAGACTAGAGAATCTTAGAGATCTTATGAACAATTATAAATTATCAATATCATACCTGCAACTAGGCTATCACTTTATTTTGTCAATTTAGATCAATGAATTTTTTCCCGATTTTTGTCCTCAATATTTTCCAGTAAATTCCACGGATCGTCAATATTTCTCCTGTTTCCACTGCGTTGTGTCGTTGACCTATGTAGAGGTTTACAATGACTAAACCTAATGGCTTCGTCTCTATATATACTGCCAAATTCCATTGTGTATTTCTGGGCAAGTTCGAACATTTAGTCCATGTGCTTGTGTTGACTTGTCTGTCAATTTCAATATGGCGAATGTAAATAAAAAAACAGGTCTTAAAGATCAATAAAAAGTTGATTAAATTATTAAGAGTGTTGGTTTAGCTTCCTTCCAATTTTGAAATATACAATCATCTAATTCGTTAGATTTTGATGATTCATGATAAAAGCAGATGTCATTATTGTTATATTATAAAAGTTCAACTTGACATAATATTTTATTGAATTAACATTATTGAATCGTCAAGACCTTTTTGAGATGACGTATTTTACGTCATTTTGGCTGAGCCAATCAAAAAAGTTTTTCGAAAAGTTGCTCTAGCTAGAATACAGATCGCTACAGCCAGTTAATTAGTACCAAGCCAATACGAACAAAACAGGTGTGCAATAGCAAATACCGCCCATCAGTGTCTATTACTAGTACTGGGACAATTAGACTAAATGTTCACCTTTATCCAACGATTATTGTGTTATCCACTAATAACTATCTACACTGTTTTCAGTGTATTTCAATGTCTATTTAAATCTAAACTAAATACCCAAAAGGATGTAAATAGTTCTCTATGGTGTTATCTGTACTTACTCGAGTCTCTAGCCAATGTTACAGTGGCCTTAGAAGAAGGTAAACCTGTACAATATAATCCTGAGATATTTTTGATGGAGATCAGAATGATGATATATAAATGATTTAACAGCTATATAGAGCTGATGTCATTGAGCAGCTGCATATCCATAATGATAAACAAAGGATTGGTATCGATATGGAGAAATGAATTCAACAATGTTTTTCTCTTAAACCAATTACTGAAAACATTCTTTGAAAAAACACGGTCCTTTATGTGTTGTTAACTGATTGACAACAATTCAATGCGAAAATAATTTATATATATTTTATATAACTGTTTTTGTTAATATTTTTTTGTTTTTTGGGTGGAATTGTTTTTTGTTCCTTTTTACCATTTCTTGAGAATGGAATTAATATCTTTCCGAAGCTTGTTTGAACAAAATAGCATATACAACATTTTCTTAGACTCCCCAACATGAAATTTTGGTTGAATTAACAAAAAGTATTCAAAAAATTAAAACAAAAACACCCGAAATAGATAAAAACTAAGACAAACCTTTAATTTCATTAACACGATACTTTTTTTAAATCAACCAAACTTTCCTTTGAATAATCACAATATTGAGAGACCTAAACACAACGTGTTTATGTCGTTTTGTTTCAATGAGGTTCGGATAGATGTTTCATTTCATTCGGAACATATGATACCAAGAACAAAAGAAGTGTCCAATGTGTTTTCTAAAACAATATAGAGAAAAGTATATATATATTTTTCAAATTATAGAGTTACGATTTAAAAGATGACCATTAAATTGACAATGTGTAAAATTTTCAGAATTTTTTAATGACTGGTTTAACATATCCAGCAATCGTAATGTTAAATCGGACATCACCTTATCTCCTAACTGGTACTATTACTGAGATTTCGTATCAACACTTTAGTCTACTAAATTATTGTTTAAAACTCATATATGTGAGCGTTAATGCAGGGGCATTTCATACAGCCTATAAACACCGCCCTTTCATTAAATGTGTTTTCTGGTTTCCTTAATTTCGCCAATTTCTTAAGAAATTGATGGATAATTTGAAGATTATATGATCAGACACATAAATATGGCATATACCACATAAGTTTCTCATATTTAGTTGTTGTTTTTTAGTTGCTGTTTTTTGTTGAACCATATATTACGTACATAGATAACGTATTTTATTTACAAGTAGGCTGCATCTTGTATTAGACCAACATAGCATCAAGTTTCACTAGAGCTGCTAAGAACACTTCTTATCAGATGTGTTGACAGCTCTCCTGATAAAGAAAGTGACCGGAGATTTCTGGATTTGGAGAAACGTGTGTTCAAAAAGTTCGCCATATCGATACCCACCCTTTGAATTTACGGGATGAACAATATCATAATTCCATGGTAATATCATAATTCCATGGTAATATCATTTTGAATAATATCATTTATCGCCTTGAAAATATCAAATATTATATCAGCATGTAGTTACTTACTTAGATCACTGGTATTGGAATTCGATATCAACTAGTCGCTAAAAATAATATCACTTGGTGATATTTTGTACACCATGGCTAATGACCAGTTGCAATATTATTTTCTTTAAAAATAGTTATGAATATAACAGGTTCTATCCCATACTTAGTAGCGTTATAGGTAAAAATCGTTGAGGACTTCATCTGAATATTTTGATTGTAATGATCGTTTGAATTACTTTCCCGAACATTCAATGCATATTTAATTCTAATAATCTACTAAGTATAGGATAAATCAGTTATTAAATTCTCGTTTTTTGATACAGGGTATATCCCTCGGTAAATACAATATATCAACCCTCGGTCCCTCGGGTAGATATATTGTATTTCCCTTAGATATATCCTGAATCAGAAACCTCCCATTAAATAACCTCGATTAATTTATTGCAAAGCGCCGACCTAGAAACGGATGGCATTATATTGTCTGACAACATACTACTGTATAACTGGCTATTAATTCATAAAAGCCATCCAAAAGACTTGAACAAATGCTCTGTTTGAATAGTTTTAGGTAATAAGAAAAAAATCACAAATGTCATTCTTTAAGAAACAATGGTGGCAATATAATTTTGATATGGTTATCACAACAGATATAAAGGTCATGACCTCTATGACATTAAAGAATTGAGATTGAATGCTGGGAGCCAAGCCTCCTTTGTTTACATAAGATGAGGGCAGATGTGGCCTAGGAGTATTTCACTTCTTACTATGAATTGAAAGAGCAATGAACAGACGAAGCCTTTTGATGAAGGATGATGTATGGTCCAGAAACAGGAACGTTTTTTATGATATGGCTTCAGATCCAAATATGATTTCTCATTTCATTTTTTAATCAAATAAACAGACATCTTTAAATATTATAATGATAAACATACACTTGTCTCTTTAAATTAAATATAAAATCTATATTTTCACAGTATGATATACAAATGTGCACCAGTTGAGTGAATACCACTGACTTGAGTGTAATATCACTAGTGCACTAATTGGCTGAAATCTATAGACACTTGAGTGTAAAAGTGTAAATGCACCAATTGGGTGAAATCTTTAAACACTTGAGTGTAAAATTGCAAGTTCAACGCTTGAGTAAAATCTATACACACTTGAGTGTAAAATTGAAAGTGCACCAAATAAGTGAATTCTTTAAACACTTGAGTGTAAAATTGCAAATGCACCAATTGATCGAAACCTTTGAGCTCCTGAGTGTAAAATTGCAAATATACCAATTGAGTGAAATATATACACACTTGAGTGTAAACTTGCAAATGCACCAATTGAGTGAAATCTTAAAACACTTGAGTGTAAAATTGCAGATGCACCAATTGAGTGAAATCTCCAAACACTTGAGTGTAAAATTGCAAATTCACCAATCGACTGAAATCTATTGACACTGAGTGTAAAATTACAAGTGCACCAATCAAGTTAAATATATACACACATGAGTGTAAAAATCTCAAGTGCACCAATTGAGAAAATCTATAAACATTTGGGTGGTAAAATCACAAGTTAGAAAAGAATAAAAAACATCTAAAAAATATAGCACACTGGAATGTACTCTCTTGAACATATAAAAACAAAATTCTAAAGTACATATATGTATATGAGTAATTAACCTTTGTCCAACTAAAGTGTTTGTCATAAATTGTATTTCACATTGATAAATATGTATGGTGTATCGTTATAGGATTGTATATTTCATATTATGCATTTTACATCAAATGAAAGCTTATATCTTAGGTAGTAAGCTAGCACCCAAAAATGTATTAGTTCGTGAACAAATTGAAATTACTTGTTTCTTATGTATTTTTATGTGCTACTTCAGAAAATGTTTGTCTGACGTGCCGTATCCGGGGCGAAAGTTGTCAAATTGGCGTTTTCGACCCTAAAATGGAAAATTACAGGGGGTACTTTATCATCATTGAATAAATCCTTCAGATGGTCTTCAATCATCATAATAATTTTATGGGGAGTAGATTGGAGCATGCTGAGGTAGTATGTTAAAGTGTGCGCCCGACCTGGCTACGTATATAACAGAGTTTATACTGGCGGATTAGACTAGTTCATTTTTTATATGTGTGTGAAAGCTTTATCTTATTTGCGTTTTTTTCGTTTAGTACGGTTTTGTTATAATTGCCGAGGTCATATAACCGGGATAAAACAATGATTACCGTTGACTGCGCACACACAAAACATTTACGTCGAGTGAACAGTGTTATTAAAAACAACAAGCTTTAGAATACAAAGCCCAGTAGTGTGATAATAAGCTGTACACTACCACTGCTGCATGTACATATTAGGGCCCATAAAGAGTGGATAGGGAGGTTGTGTTTGTCACTTTTAAATTTTACATTTGCCATTTTACATGTCATAATTTCTTGGTTTCATTCGTTTAGCCGATCAAAACATTGTAAAAACAATAAATCGTCTGTTACGTATAATCAATTTTGTTTAGTTGTCATAATGAAGTTACGTTCATCTGAATCCATGTTTCAAAACAAAAATCATATTTTCTTCACTTCAAAATACTTCAGTGAGATGAATGCTCGGAATTGTCGTTTGCAATAACTTATTGTCGTATTCGTTCGTTCTACTCGATAGAAGTATTTAGTCGTACATTTGATGCCAGGTCACCTTCTCGCGTACCTCTTGGGGAGCC